CAATAAAAGTCTTGAACTACTTCAGTTGGTGTGCAATGAATCTAAAATATATGAAAGTTTAATGTTTATCAGTACATTACAGAAAATAATGAACTTTATCACAATATGCTAATTTTTTGAGAAGGACCTGTACATTCATTTAGAACTTGAAATAGTTTAAATAACCTTTCAAAGCTATGCTCTATTAAGAATCTAAAATGTTTGTGAGACTTCATTCCATTCTGTTTTTATTTACTTTTAACATAATATCCTGACTTTTCAACGTATCCATCTCTTTGAGCTATCTCATTTTGAAAATTAGTTTAATTCTGACATTGGCTCATCAGTTTTCCAACAGAAAATGTGTAAGAGAACAAGCGGGCACAACTGACAGCTTTTATGGTAAACATGGTTTTATATGATGACAGAAGTTGATATTTAATGGTTTTAAACACTTTTCTGATAGTTTGGATTTCAAATGAGAATCCAAAACAACATCCAAACATCTGAACTTATCTGCGTCTCTGATGAATAATAGAAAAATCTTTACTGACTTTATGTGTTTCTAACACAGTGAGACAGTTTTTGTTGTTTACGGTCTTAAACCTCATGAGAGCCTACCACCATTCAGTAACTCGTGTCTTTAGTTACGTATATGGTTGGCTCTGATTGTCTTTACAGCTCTCAGGGAAATCATCAATATACAAGAATGAAGGGTCTTAAAATTAAACCTTGTGGAACTCCTAATTTACAGATTATTTACCAGGTACAATCAGCATCAGGATTTCTGCTCAGGATGTTTTCTTTTCTTGGCCTGGTTCTCAGCAGAAGATGGATAGAGAGAAGAAAAACAAGAAAGGATGAGGAATACCTGTTAGCATTGTCAAGTTTTATTGTTCCACATCCATTCAACATTAAAAGAACATTAATGCTGACACAAACACACAAGAGGAGTTAAATTTGACAAGTTAATGCTAGCCAATTCTTCTGAAGCAACACACTAAGAATCCATAATATCTAGAATAAGTTAGAGGCATAAAAAAAGAAAATAAGGCATATGTGTGCACTTTGGATGAAGAAAAGAGTGTCTACAGTAGAAATGGTCTTGTAGATAGATAAGGTTAGGAGGCCTTAAATTACAAACTTTGGCATTAAAGGCATATCACATTAATGTGAAGATCCCCCAAGGGTTGGGCGACACAGACATAAAAAATTATCAACATTCATTGTGATAGCCAATAATGATTAATATGACTATTTCTGGATTTTCCACATTTTTTACTCATACATAACCAAGTTTGTAGGGTTAAGGTTAGTTGCTTCACGCTGCCTTCCACCACTGGGCTCATCATCATCACATGGTACTAACTGCAGTAACTGCAAAGTGGAAAATATTAATTGCTGATAGCCCCCATGGGATTGTTTTTCTGATGATTAATTGCACATGCTACCATTTTGCCCAATCCTAAATTCTCCAAAGTAAAAATATACAGTATATAATAGAAAAAGAGTGTAACACAGAACACAGCAGTCTAATAAGGGGATTCTGATGTTATCAGTCCATGAAATGGACGTTATTAGGCATTATCAGTCCCATACAATGGCTTCAGAGGGTCCCTACTGTGCCTTCTGGGCTTCAGACTGTCCCAACAGTGCCACCTAGTGGCTTAATATATCAATGACAATAAATGTGTAAATGACCAAAAGATATTGTAATAAAATTTTTGTGTCCGTCTCGAACCCTGGTCTCCTGCTCTTTGGGCCGACACTCTACCCATTGCCCTATTGGAAGACCACAATATATGACCATTGGAGGGCGGTGTCTTTAGTGCTAACCTTGTCATTTGCTCTAAAGTTAACCTTAGTGGCTTTAAGCCTCATATTAACCAGTTTTTTATGCCTCATATTAACCAGTTTTTTATGCCTCATATTAACCAGATCGTGGTTTTTATGTCTCATATTAACCAGCTGACAATCTGAAGCCATTCTATGGGACTGATAACACCTAATAATGTCCATTTCATGGATGATAACATCCGAAGCGGGTGCTAATAACACCCTTACATTCACACACTCATACATTTGAGCAATAAACATTCATTTGTGTACAAGGCATACTGGTCTCAGGAAAGATTAGGGTTTAAGTTAGTTTGTTTTCTACACGCTGTAGTGTTTCTAAGGCATTCATTCCTGTTGATTTTCAGGAAACAATACTCTCATCATAAAGTACTTGTGTGTCTCTCCTGCCCCAGTGTGATTTATAAAATGATCAAGGCAGAACAGCACTGAAATAAAGCTGCCACCAGGCAAAGTAGTGACAGTCCTAACTGTTGACACATGAAAAGGTGAGCCAGCATGGGGTGATGCAGGGCTAACAGATAATCTGTGCAACTAAATGCAAGCTGTCCAACACATTTCATGCTTAGTTCACCATACCAACACTGCTGAGTTATACTCAGGTTCACAATGCTGCTTCATTTCTAAAACTTCACATCGTCACAAGAAGAGGTCAGGTCGGTTGGTGATTTATGAACAACAAGGCTGATTAAAAGAGGGTCAGGGTTAACAATTTAAATACCTGGTGTCCCTCTGAAGGAAGCTCTGTCTTGTCAACCCTGTAATAAAGCTCAGCGCCATAAGGGATCCCAGAAGCTGGAGCCAGAAGAGGCACAGAGTTCCCACAGGATGTTCCCTGTACAGGTTTGAAGTCCCACCCTCTCCACATAAACAAACATACAATTTTACCAGAGGCCTACTGCACAAAAGTCAGCTTTCTAAATTCAGGATATGAGCTGTAAGCCGAGCTTGAACTAGCCTTCAACTTGTAAACAGTGGAATCAGTTGCACGAACACCAAGCTGCGCTCAGTTAGGGTGGTTTGTTCAAGCCAGGATTAATGCACGTTCATGGTTTGTTTACTAGACCCATCAGGTGGATCACAGATTTACTGATCAGGCATGAGCAGTAAGACACGTCAGTCTCACTTCCTCCAGCAGCTTAATGGTTAATTATGATTCATATGAAGAGATGAAGAGAAACACCGACTGATGCTGAAATAATTTCAAAATTAAAAACTTTTTGTGCCACTGAATCTGTCTGTAAGTTATCTGAGATTAACTAAATTAACAAAATTAAAATGAGCAGCTGATTGCTCTCTGGGATGGGTGGGGGGCAGAGTGTTGGGTCTTGTGTTTTAAGCTCATCCAGATTGTTGGTTCTTGGGTCTTTAGCTCATCCAGAGTGTTGGGTCTTGTGTCTCTCAACTTTCTCTTCACAATATCCCACAGATTCTCTCTGGGATTCAGGTCAGGAGAGTTGGCAGGCCAATTGA